GCCATGACTAGTAGCTCATCAGACCATGACTAAGACCTAACAGGCTAGGGTCATCCCCGAACGATCGAGACTAAGAGTTCACCCGACCATCGCTAAGAGCTGGGCTGACCTTGACTAGAGCTAAGCTGACCATGAGTAGAGCTAAGCTGACCATGTGTATGAGTTCATCTGACCATGGAATTGGGACGAGCCAACTAATACTCCAACCTCAACCGACAGATGCGCGTGGGTTCCTTGTTCAAGACTGAAGTGGTCATATCTTCTGTCCTCAACGTGGAACCCACGTGCATAAATTGATCGAACTTGTAGCTTCGGTATGTGTGGCGAAATTGTATTACAAGTGTAAAGCTACCCACGAGCAGTCGCTCAGCCTCCTCATCTTCAGCGTCAAGAGTCCAGTCCGTCTCCCATCTGCCGCATCCTGAGGCCTTCCATCACCACGCCCATCCTACAACTCCTCCTTATCCTCCTCATCGACCTCTGTATCCTTAATAGGATCCTCTTCGGCATCGCGAATAGCCTTGGCAAATTCTTCCGCCTCTTTAGGACTATTCGCAAACAAGTGTTCCCTGACAAGTCTCTGCGGCGTCTCGCCAAGCCACTGGAACAAGCTAAAGTCCTGGTACTTGTCTGTACGGAAGATTTCGAGCACCTCGACGTCCTCATCGTCAGATAGGTTCTCGATGAAGTGGCCCATGTTGCGAGGAATGACGCCTACGTCGCCGGCTTGGAAGTCGAATGTGCGCGCTGTGCCTTTGGCGGCGAAGATCGTTACGCGGGCACGGCCAGCGATGAAGAAGGACCACTCGTCTGCGTTAGCTGTGGTAAAGAGTTAGCATGGAATAACGGATGGGTAAGTGAGTGACTTACGGTGCCAATGCATTTCGCGGATTGCGCCAGGTTGAATGCTCAAGTGTGCTGCAGCGACAGTCTTGGAGATGGGGAAGTTTGTCGAATCGGTGATGCGAACTTGACCACCAGTCGTGTTGACAGGCTCCTGGGCAAGCATCTTGTGAGTAAATTGGATCTTCGACTTCTTGTATCCCTTGCCGCCACTTGGAACCTCATCGTCGATGGGACCGGGCTCTGAGCCCTGGAAGATGTACTTTTCCTTCTCGGGAATTGCCTTGAAGACTTCTGGCGAAACGCGGAAGTTCTCACCCAAGACGGACTTGGGTGTCAGTCTCATCCAGTCGGTGAGCAGGAAGGTAGAGTCTTCAGAGAAGTTTCCGTCATCGAAGACGAGCAGGAATTCGGTGCCGTTGGGGCTCAGGCCTTGCAACGAATGAGGGTGGCCAGAGGGGAAGTACCATAGGTCACCCTTCTCTAGGTCATCGACGAAAGAGCCACCTTCAGGATCGAGGGCGGTGATGCGGACCTTGCCTTCGAGGACATATGCCCATTCGGCTTCCTTGTGCCAGTGGAGTTCACGAATGACGCCTTCCTCAAGACGCATGTTCACGCCGGCTAGCTCCTTGCTAGTACCCAGCTCGCGAACAGTCGTCTCGCGCGTCCAGCCACCCTCCTCGATACGGATATGCGAGTCGGCAAAGGACCATCGCATGTTGGGGATCGCGCCATGGTCGGTGCTGGGTGGGCGGACGAGATCTGGGTTTTGTCGTTCGCGCGCTCGGTTGCGAGGCCCTAGAACACTCGCTCCGTCACCATTGCGCTGGAAACTTTGTTAGCATGTTGACCATCATCGAGCTAGATATTCGTCGTTCCGCGGAGGAATGATCTCAATGATGGACTCACGTAGGGCAGTGGCTGAAGCTTGTCGCCTTGTGAATCAATCTTCTTGTCAAATGGATCATTGTTGCCAGGCTTGTACGGGTTGAAGACTTTGTTAGGTCCTGCGTGGTGTCGCGCACTGCCAGCCAGCGGTTGTTGTTGCTCCAATGGCGCAGCCACGGCACCACATACGCCAAGCGCGACCAGTAACGACGGAAGATGCATGACGGCTTCAATTGACCTCAAGTGAAGAAGCTGAAGAGGATCGCGAAGTCGAAAGTTTATTCACCCGGCAGACGACGCCCTTTTGACATGCCGCGTGCATTGCGCGTCCTGCAATGCCGTGTGCCGATGACGACAGTCTAGCCATGATTATTTATGATGCTTGCTTGACACTAAGCAATCAACCATCCACTCCCACGCCATCTCCGCGCATCAATCACCAATTTTCCACGCACCATACCCACCGAAACCGTTTCCCCGCACACCAAACGCATTGCTTGTACATGTACAGCCACATCAGGAAGGTCTTCAAGCCACACGTCCTGAGATATCCTGCAATTGCCGCAGCGGGCGTCGAAAGCTTAACTGAAGCTTGAGTCGAAGTGCCTGTCGATCTGCACGCTGGCTCGCGTCTTCCCGGTTCTGCTGACGCGATTGTCTGCACCCCGCCCCAACTGACATAACTACCGGTCCTCGCAGCCCTCCCAATATACGACTACACGATCTCCTCTCACGCGTGCAATCATGAGCAGCGTAACGCGCAGAGACGCCACGCGCACCGGCGCAGACGAGGAAACGCCGCTTCTCGGCCGAAATGGACCAACCGGCGGAAAATCGGACAGCAAGGGGACTATGCAGCGGCTCAAACGGCACATGAATGCCGATGTTAACAAGAACTGGGCAGATCTTGTTTTGCTGTATTGCTACATTGTTACGGGGCTACTGGATAGCTCGGCTGTCTTCATATGGGGCTCTTTCGTGAGCATGCAGACGGGTGAGTAAGACGCGCCATCTCTCTCAGACTAGAAGCTTACTCAACATGCAGGTAACACCGTGTATCTTGGCTTGGGCATTGTCGCACCTTCTGAGGGCATCCGTTGGATCAAGGCATTGACGTCCATTGTCGCGTTCTGTGCTGGCTCGTTCTGCTTCGCGCGCTTTCATCGCTACTTCTCACCTGCCAAAAGATGGGTGCTCATCGTATCCTACACGTTCCAGATGCTACTCATTGCTGTCGCTGCATTGATCGCTACTGTCGGGAAAGACACCAAGGAAGGTCTTCATTGGCAAATGATTGTTCCACTCGCTTCGGTCGCTTTCCAATCCAGTGGCCAGGCAGTCACGTCGCGCGCCCTGAAGTACAACGGCCTGACCAGTGTCGTGCTTACGAGCAACTACTGCGATCTCTTTTCTGACCCTCAGCTGTTCAAGATTTCGAATGTGGAGCGCAACAGGAGGATCGCTGCACCCGCTATGCTGTTGTTGGGAGCCTGCATCGGCGGATTGTACGCTCACAGCAGTGTAGGTCTCGCAGGTGCTTTGTGGACCGCGTGTGGGCTGAAGCTCTTGGCTGTTTTTGCATGGGTCTTTTGGAAGTCGGAAGTCATCGTCGAAGAATAAATGTCGCTCCGACAAGAAAACTTGGTCGTCCTATAGAGGTCTTCCGGTTGGCCTCAGTCTGCCACGTCCAACCATGGTACCACCGTCGCAACAAAACCTACTCTATATTATTCTTTATGCTGCCCACAGCCGTCTCCAACCATTCCTCATCCATCTTTTGGACTTACGTCTCTATAATCACCTCTGCCCGAAAACAACTCGTGTCTACAATACAAGATGAAGCCCAACAGACAGGGTATTTATGGCTTCGTCAAGAACCGCGATGTGCAGCCACTGCTCAAGTCGGAACTTCGAGGCCTTGCGAGCATCCGAGACCGCCTTGCTGAAGCCACGGTGGTAGCATTCGATATAGAAGGAGTCCACCAGCGTGGTTCAGAGGCGAGTGAGCTTGGAGTCGCGGTACTACGACCTAGTTCAAAGCCACTTCGCTTCTCCTCGTCTATGTATTGCTTCTGGAATCAAAACGATATCGAGGCATTTACCATTCGCATACGAGAACGACGATACGGGCCTTTTGTTGGAACCATGACCGACGAGACCAGGGAAACTGCTGGCGCAAGACTATACAATTTCTTGTCCTCCATCCAAGGCGAACTTATATTGGTTGGTTTTGGCATGCAGAGGGAATTCAAATGGATTAGCGATGAATGCCCGGCCATCGCAGCACTGTTCACTTCTTGGTGCGATATACAAGAGCTTGTCGCTGATTCCTACAAGAGCATGACCGCCGAACCCGACAAATTACTTCCTCGATATCGTCAGCCCAGTCTAGATCGAATCATGAAAGCTCTGAAAATAAGTGGATGGCGATCCAGGCATGAGAAACATGGGGCGGCTGCCGATGCCGTCAAATTCCTGGCCGTTCTTTCCGCACTCTTTTCTGGAAGGGTTTTGCATGAACTCCCCGAACCGAGCATTTGCCGCTTATCACGTCTCCCACACAAGAAGCATGATGAATATAGTGGGAAACGAAATGCGCGTATTACCGCGTGGGATGGAAGTAAACTGCCTTTGCAAACACCAAACGGTTTAGCGGATTTCTGCGCTCCCCATCATGGGTTACTTGCTGTGGGTCTCGATGCAATTGATGTAAACTTGGCAAGAGACAGAAAAAGGATATGGTGGGTATCGTTTCTAACGCAAGACGCGCTCGACGAGTTCATTGCCAAAGTGCATGGGTCGCTTTACGAGGGAGTGAAACTGTTCGTTACACCAATGGCTCCACCAAACAAGTATCTAGCCGCCAAAAGGTCGAATGAAATGCCTTGGAAACAGCCGAGAACCGTCAGTAGGTACGATGGCGATGATCTGATAGCAGCTTTCGAGTAAGTCAAGGAACCGACATCGACTCGGATACATTCGGGCTAACGTTTATAGCATACTCAGCACCACAGGTGAATATGAAGAAGAGGCAGAAAACCAGTAATGTGCGCCTATAATAACGACCTAAGCCCTGGAGTCACATGCTGTTACCGATGCGTTTGCTGCCTCGCGTACTGTCGCCGCAAATCGGACAAACGCTCATCTGGCTCCGCGATACCGACGCAAACAGCTCTCCCGTTAGCTGCCTACAGCCTTCCGGTTCTGATACCGCTCCAACACACAAGCACAACACTCACCAAAACTTGCAATCTTAACCGCGAAGGATGGCGCTCGAATCGCTGAAGAGGTCCTTCGGGACTATGATGAGTATTAAGAAGAAGAAAGAGCCATCCGAAGATTCTATCATGACAACCGACTCTCCCGGTCAAAGCTTTGGCAGCCTAAGCTCGTGCGCCATGTCCATTGATAGCGAAGACGCTCCACAAGACAGCGGCGTCGACATCAAAAGTCCACCAGTACCGCCTCCCAACACCCAGTCGGATCAGTATAACGACACCGACACTGTAAATCTGCACATCAACCCCAACCCTATCAAGACGACAACCCAAACGCCCGCCACTACCCCAACATTCGCCGGCCTCCCTCCCACCATCCGCGCACTAATCTGGTCCTACGCCGCTCCCGCCCCGCGAACCCGTTTCCTCGAACTCCACACCTACAACACCATCGACCACATCCCGCGCATCCGCTACATACCGCCACTCCCACCGCTCTTCTCCACCAACCAAGAAGCCAGAAACTTCAGTATCGCACTTGAAGGTGGAGAACTCGTTAATTTCACATCGGAGAACTTTACCGCATTATTCTCCTTTCACGGCCGGAAGATCGGCGGAGAAGAAAATGAGAAGAAGTTCTACTTCAACTTTGACAGGGATATCATCTGGTTGAGTGCGAGATTCACAGCTGCTTGCAATACCACTGAGACGCTTCGTCTGCAAACGCTGTCTTCTATCCTGCCGCCGATCAGTCTATCCCATATTCAACGCCTCGTCATCTCGTACTCCGGCCTGGACTCGTATGCGCTTATTGGACCATATCTGCGTCCCTTTGCGCGTCTTGAGACGTTGTATCTATGTACGAACGATGCGCGCATCAAGGATAATGTGAAGAGGTTACTCAAGAAAGGTGTACCAGCTGATGGCGTGACGGCGGACAAACTGAAGAGCATGATTGAGCAGACTGAAGCTGATGAGACGGACGACGATGAGGAAAGCGAGGATTTGACAACGGAGAGGTTGGCGGTTAGAGCTAGCAGAAGGGTGCTGGAAGTGTATCTGAGGCTAGAAGAATAGCGGCCGTAATGTGAATTTGATTTGGCTCCACGAGGGCATTGGATGATACCCAGCGGGAAAGTACGTAGCATGTGCTCATACAATCGATACCAGCACCCCAAACAAGCAAGAGTCCGAACAAGCCTGGAGCCTACATTGACGTTAGGTCACCTACTTTTCATGTTTTCAAATTGATGTACGCTGCAGACCTTTTTAGATTTCCCTAGATTGAGGTGTTAAACGACCATATCATCCAAGCTTGGCGACTCGCCCATCCTCCGCTTTGACAACTCAAAGCTCAATACAGTATGATCCATGTAGTACATCAACAAGCGCCATCGGCGAGACTGGAGCGAAAGCAAGCCCCGTTGATCCGGTACTTCGATATCTTCTGAAGGATCAAACATGCCTGTATACCTGTGAGTCCTACGATACACACGGAAGTATTCATCATCATCCTACCTTGTATAGGCGCGACAGCTACACCAAGCAGCCGTTCATTCGGCCCTCCTGCTATCTCCATCTCATTGCCTGACCGAAACGGCAGAAGGTATTCAAGTTTGAAGCCATACCGCGGCTCCCCAGTGTTCTCGTCTCTAGTATAGCACAGACTGAAGACGCCGACACGACCGGCCGGAGATCCGACTATGAAGATGCCCAGCTCGGGTATCTGGGAGAAGAAGCAGTGTCGGTCGCAAGACATGAGGGAGTCTACCCATCGGCCTGGATGTAGCGGTCGTCTTATCGCGACGATGGGCTTGAGAGGTCGGTGGCCTTGGATGAGGAATATGTCTTCTTTGGTGAAGATTAAGAATGGGCCACCACCCATCTGTTCTGCGATAGGCCTCAAGTCATCAATCAGACGATACGGCGCTCTGTTAGGGCTGCGCAATGTTCCGGGTCGAATGGAAGACAACAGCGTCTCACTTATACCAAACTGCGCTGTGTGTTAGTCACCTAACGTGTCTTTAAATGTAAACAGGTGCTTTGTCAATTACATTGCCTTGAGATCGTGTTACATCGTGGCTTGTATGCTAATGTAGATGGCAAAGCACCAGTTCAATTTTTTTCTTTGGTAGCGACTACACTTACAGATTGAGCCAACTCCTCAAAGGTCATCCCGAGAAGCTGGTGATTCGGATCAATATCGTCTTCGTCGTTGTCTGTCTCGTTCGCTTCGCTGACTACTTCGATTTCTTCGTCATCTGTACTGTCCTCTTCGTCGTTTGTGTCGGGATGATATTGATGAGAGGTAGTTTCGGAAACTTTGAAACGTTTCTTCTGGTCGGAGACATCTACGAAGTCGCTCATGTGCTCGTCCAACGGTAACTCGTATGCGGATCGCGTGTCCAACGCTATAGTACCCCAGGCTCCGTGGAGAACATTTTGCGCGCCCGGACAGTCGCACAGGAACCTGTGAGATATGTAGCGAGGCGGCTTCGACAGATCGCTTGCGCTTGCGCACCAGCCTAACTGGAATGTAGCCACCTCCTGCTTGGTGTACAAGTCCCACATCGATGTCTTGCCATCAATGCAGCTGCTCAAAAGCCAGCGACCGGAGTCACCGTAGAATGATACTGCGGGAACATTATTCGTCGCCTGAAGGGTAAAAACATTGTTCTCTCTTCTGCTGTGTGGGAAATCAAGGTTGGTATCGTGGCCTGAGACTTCCAATTCGTTATCGGAAGCGAGCGCAAATGCGATTATCGTTATCTGATGAGTATTCTGTTGAGGTCAGAGGGGTAGAATGTATGTGAGGATCAAAGATTGTCATTACCGCACTGATCGCAATCATGCGAGTCCTGCGCTGTACGGCCAGACCCCATGCACTTCTACCAACATTGGAACGAAGAAACACATGGACACCGTCCTCATCGGCAGGCTCCTGCAAGTTGGTGCGCCGTTCCAACGCTCGGTGAATCTCTCGAGTTCGATATATAATAACGTCGCCATCGTCGCAGGCCAGCATAAGCATCTCTTCGTTGCCGACATAGTCGACCAAGATGCGACAGATAGAGTGAGGGTTTGATGGGTCAATTCCATACCCACGAGTGCCAGATTTTGGCGGATGCAACACAAGCTCAGGCTTGTCAGATAATTTCTGATCGGGAAAGCTTGGTTGATAGACATGAAGCTCATCGACAGAGGCAAGAAAGTAGAGGTTGTGTTGATGCGAAAGGCCCGTCAAGTCGCAACGCCAATCTCGCAAATCTGGAGGCACGACACCATGGGCGAACTATGCTGGGTCAGCGGCAATATTGGAGATTCGAATATCAATGGGCCGGCATATTCTGAATGTGAACTGTATGACTGGGTTGCGCTAAGATCATGGCAGGCTCTCGCCATGCTCACGCATGTAACATCGCAAACTTGGAACTCACCCGTTTTTCTCCGCGGTGATCACCCGTTGGTATACAGGCGATGTGTGGGGACATGGTGAATACCGCATTCTTGCTCCAAAGGTGGTGTTCAAAATGCGAAGTTTGTGTCGTGTGGTGGGCGAGAGACAGAGCTGGTGATGGTTGGTTGTGACATGAGCTAGCGCCATCCTACCTAAGTAGGTACGGCCCGCGGTTAGACGCCCGGGCGTGTACCACGTGCTAGTGCATTCACCACTGTACCTCATACAAGGGAAAATCTAATTACCCTAGAGCCTACGTTGTCGTTGGGACACCTACTTTGCATGTTTTTATCTTAATGTAGACTCTCGGGTGTTTATCTTTGGCCTTGACTAAGGTGACTGCTAAAGTATAATAAGAAGAAGCGGGCACGTAAAATAAGTTGGTCACGGAAAACGGGTTATACTCAACACACAGTTCGTGGTAAGGGACCAGCGGATGAAAATAGGCCTCAATGTCACGAGACTTTCAGCCTGTTCGGTATTATAATCTTATAGCGCTATGAACGTCATAGTTATATATGTCTCTCGTCATGCTTTCTCGTTCCAAGACCACGGCCGATGCCAGACCACTTGCATAGATCATTGATAGAACATCAACCCCGTTAGATCCAGTATCCGAACGCCGTCTAATGCTTTGCGGTGACCTTGTCGCCAGTGAGCTTTTCAACAGCCTCCTTGGCACTAGAGATTCGTTAGCGGAGGTTTAAAGAGCGGCATCGCCAAAACTTACACATCGCCCAGAGCAACCATGCAGACCGTCTGCCAAACGCCAAGACCGATTCTAGGAGTAACGCCACGGTAAAGACCCTTGATACCGTTGTTCGAGTAGATGTACTTGAACGCAGATGCAACATTCAGGTTCTTGGGGCGGTTGGGATCAACAGTCTTGGACTGAAGCTCCACGCGGATAACCTCAATAGGCTGGTTCCACGCGCTCAAACCACCACCGAGAGCTGAAGCGGTGATCTTCTCAATCACGCTGAGCTTCTCGCCGTGCTGCTTGTCCATAACCTTGCGAATACCGGTTTCCGCAACACGAGACAGACCGAAGCGGGATCCCCAGTTGGTGACCTGGCGCACCGCGACGGCGTTGACACCACGGTTGATACCACGGAGACCCTCCGCGCGCCAGATGCCCATGAATGTCTCGAGCGTACCCGGAGGCTTCGCGCCGGTGGCTGCGACCTTGTGCTTTGTAATCTCGACCGTCTTCATGCACGTGCAGAATCCCATGGTGGCATAGGCTTGAGCAAGACCACCCGTCATACCACCAGAGATACCGGCGAGAAAGTCGGGGGCGCCGAATGACTTGGCGTAGTATTCGGCTTCGGAAGCGACGAAGAGAAGGACGGCTCCTTTGGTGGAGGCTTCGATCCAGGCCCATGGAATGAGACCCTGGTAGACTGTACGATGGTTAATGGGGTTGTCTGGAAACTGTAGAATGCATACTGACATCCAAGAACACCTCCACGCGCCCAGATGCGACCAATGGCTCCCGAGAAGCCTTCAGACCTGTTGGCAGCCATGGTAGTCTTGACGACCTCCAACGGCTATCATCGGTCGTTAGTGTGCTTCCGGCGAAGTCGGTTGCCTGAAATTGCATACCTGTCCCAGAGTTGTCACTCTGTCATCTTCAGTCAGCTTCAATTGCTATCTTGGTGGTGAAGTGGGATGTTTACTTACTCAAACATGTTGAGACCAGCACCAACTGCGCCTACAGTCAGCACACACTCCCGCTCTCTACCAGCACGCAAACTCACGCAACAGATTGCTAAACTTGACCGGCTTCTTCTCGAGCGATGGCGGGCCGTTCCTCGCCATGCTGGGGACGCCCGTCGCAGGTGTGGAGCTCATTCTCTGGGATTCTCTTGTCGAAGATATGCGGCCTGACCAAGGCAAAAGGGTGCTCCGTCGCAAATGTGAGCAGTATCAAGTGTGTGAGCAAAGCGAGGAAAGGGATGCATAGAAAAACGGTATAAGCTTGCGAGGTGGTCTGTGTTGCTGGTTGACCGCCGTCCGGGCGCGCTATAATTGGGGTTGTCCCTGAGGCTATCGGCCACTTGGCGGAAGGGCCATGTCCCGCAGCTGCTTCCCATCCGCGGCCATGTACCGGGCGAGGGGTCTAGCATTGCTTTTGCCTCCAAGTACTCTCCGAAACTCACTTTCTCTATTACAAGTATGCTCATGTTTGCTTTTGCAATTCCATGTACAACTATGTAGGACACCGCCTGCACAGCGAATTGTTGGGTCGGATTGGCGTCGGGTCGCACTGGAGAGCTCAACGATCCGCATCGGTTCCCCATCGCTCAACGAAAGCTACCCACGCTCCGAATATCCCGGTTACTTATCTCACCGTTCGTTGCTTTTTGCACCGATGCGATTGGGCGAATCTCATACACCTGAAAATGGCCCGAAGGCACCCACGACAGTCTTCATCGCAACGGACACATAGTATGAACTTCATGGAGCGTAGATTTCTGATCATCAAGACGTGAGAATACAGCAATTCGTTCACTAAAATGTAGTGATGTAGCGCCGTAACGCTCCCATTCCCTATCCTTACATTGCAATTCTACACAGGACAAGGTATCTCTGAATGTTAAACAAATTCCTCCACATT